GTCATTGTTGTTTGGCGGGTCCGGGCTGGGGATTCGAACCCGCCACCTTAGGTGTACATGGCTGGCGCCTTAGCCGGTTGAGCTATAGGCGCCGAGCCAACTTTCTTTTTTAAGAGATGAAGTTTTGCCCTGTTGCCCAGGCTGGAGAACTTTGTGGCCCAATCATAGCTCACTGCAGTCTTGAACTCCTGGGTCAAGGGATTCCCCCACCTCTGCCCATTGAGTAGCTGGGATTACAGGCGGCATGTTCCTGGCGGATTAGAGGAAAAAAAAGAGAGATGGGGTCTCGATATGTTGACAGGCTGATCTGAAACACCTAGCCTCTAATGATCTTTCTGCCAAGGCCTCTCAAAGTGCTGCGGTACAGGCATGAGCCGCCATGCCCAGCTCATACTGTTGGACACTGATGACATTTTTGCCTTATTCTAGTAAAAGAGATGAAACTTCATGAGACAAATTCTTTTGAATTGTTGTTGCATTATTGGTTTTTTTTTTTTTGAGACAGAGCCTCAAGCTCTCCCCCTGGGTAGAGTGCAGTGGCATCAGAGTTCACAGCAACCTCCAACTCCTGGGCTCAAGCGAGTCTTCTGCCTCAGCCTCCCAAGTAGCTGGGACCACAGGCGCCCACCACAACACCTGGCTATTTTTTGGTTGCAGCCGTCATTGTTGTTTGGTGGGCCTGGGCTGGATTGAACTTGCCACCTTAGGTGTATGTGGCTGGCACCTTAGCCACTTGAGCTGCAGGCACCGAGCCACATTATTGGTTTCTATTAGAACATTTGTTAATACTTCCAGCTCTCCTTATGTGTAAGTTGGTAACGCTGGAAATAGTACATCAAGTATAGTCAGTCTGCAAATTACTTTAAAATCTTTGTTTAGACTTTGTGATATTTTTGGGGTTTTATTATGAAAAATCACAAACATAAGCAAAAGCAGAAGGCTGCCATGTGCGCCCATCATCCAGTGTCAACAGCAGTCAGCTTACGGTTGATCTGGTTCATCTGTACGTTCAGACACTCCTCACCACCCTCGTCTTGCTTATTTTATTTTATTTTATTTTTTTGAGACAGAGCCTCAAGCTGTCCCCCTGGGTAGAGTGCCGTGGCATTACAGCTCACAGCAACCTCCAACTCCTGGGCTCAAGTGAGTC